CTTCCTCCCCCCCTCCCCTCCCCAAAGGTCACCAGTAGATAACAGCTGCACAGCTAGCATTAATAATTTTGCAAATAATTTGATTTGGGAGAAAGATGCTCGAGCGACAGCTCGGAGATGTGGAGGATGTTTAGAGAATGCAGCCCAGTTCGGCACTGGGGGGATCACCCGGCATGTCCCGGCTGCAGGGGGTGAGATGGGGAGGTCCAGTCCCCTATCCGGCTGTGGTCTGGCTGCAGGGATGGGGATAGTGTCTGCTGGGATGGTGGGATGTTCCCCAAACTCGGCCGGATGGGGGTACCAGCTGCATCCCTTGCCACAAGGAACGTTGGGCTGTCTGTGGTTCGGCCAGTCATGTGGGTTCAGCTACCGGTGCCCCGGCTGCTGGGCTGGAGGGGCTGGGAAGAGCTGGAGAGAGCGATGGAGGGGGAAAAACTCAGGAAAGGGGAAGGAATTGAGCAGAAGTGGAGAGACGGCATGTGTGTGCGCGGAGGGGACCATCAGAAGGAGACGCTCCGAAGCCAGAGAAATGAAAAAGCCATAGGGAGAAAAGTTACAGAGGGAAGAAAATAGCAGCAGGGAGAAAAGCAGGAGGAAGGGGGAGGAAAAAAAAGCACTCAGTCACTACTGAATAATGTAGGGCAGGCTACTGGGGGCTAGCGAGAGTGACAAAAGCTCCCAGCCTTTTCTTTTTTCGTCATTAACAGATGGAGCCGTGCATGAAAGCAGGGACGTAGGCTCCAACCCCGCAGCTCGAGCAATCAAAGCGTGCGGCAGACAGGAGTGCGCCAGCCTCCGCCGCGGCCAGGCAGCCTAAAAGGATGAGAAAAGCTCTTGGAGCCCACGGCATGCAGACAAAGAGGCAGAGGCGACCCCCATCCCACCTGCGCTGCCCCTGCCGACACAGCCAGCTCTGCTTGGATATAAGCGCAGGCAGCCCCGGGTGGGAATTATGCCTGCCAGGAGGATGGGAATTAACCTTTCCACTCGCCTTTCCTTCCCGCCCGCCATCCCTCCCCTGCTTCTCAGCCGGCTGCACCGGCAGGGCCCCAAGAACCTCCCCCCAAAAAAGGGCTAAAGCCCCCTCCCCATCAGCTAATCCCTCCCTGGTTTACAGAGATCAAAGGCAGAATGACCTTTGCCGAGCGCTTTTCCCTTCCCAGAGAGGTTTTGTTCTCCGCGAGAGCATCCCCAGTGCCACCGGAGCAAGCCGGCAGTGAGAGCTGGCGTTTGGTCAGGGCTGGCAGATGTCCCCTGCCACAACCTCCCTTTTCTTGCTTGATTTTGGTTCTCTGCATTGTTTTTCCTCGCAAAACCTGTGGGTTTGTCCCAGCAGGCCCTGCTGGAGGCTTTACCAGACCCTGGGGCATCGCAGCCGCCCTCTCATTTGCAGCCCGAGTGTGTACCTGCCCAGTGCGGGGCCGTTTGTGCTCATGCCAACATCATCTTCTCACGCTCCCTCTCCCTGCTACCTTCGCCCTGCTGTTCCCATTCCCCAAGGTTGCATCCTGCCCAGCCAAACCCATCTTTCCTCCGGCCTTCCCCTCCCCTCTGTTGTTCATGATGGATAGCAAAGATTGGGGGTGACATCAGCGGGCATCCCTGCCTTCATCTTTGTGTGCATGCTCATCAGGTCCTGTCCGTCCTGGAAAAGCGGGATATAGGGAAGAAGAAAAAGCTGAAGCCACAACCATAGATGAGTGTGGTGACCTCCTCCAGGCCAGCTCCGAGACCGGGGTGGGGGGGCCCGTCCAGATCAGCAGGGATGGCATCACCCTGTGTCCCACCAGCACAAGCCATGCGAATGTCCAGGGCTGAAGCAGCCATGCAGACCCCTCTCGGTGCTGGAGACGTTCTGGCACCTTCAGGAAGGTCTGGCAGCATGGAGAAGGTGGTCACCATCTTTCCAAGCCCATGGCAGAGAGCCTAATGCCCCAAGGACGTGGGGAAGGGAGAGGGCTGCTACTTACGAAGAAACCCCAGGAGCGTGGCAAAGGGCCACCTCCTCCCTTCCAGCCTGGTTTTCTTCCAGCCAGGATGGGGTCTCCCAGCAAGGTGGGATCTGGGGTCTTTGCAGGGTGCAGTAGCGGTTGGGAGCATCTTCACCAGGCACTGGGTTTTGGATCAGCCAAGGGAAGAGTTTTGGTCTGGGTTTTAACCCTGATGGGACAAGATGTACTCAAGTGATGGGTCATGTCTTGAGGACTGGCGGACCTACCACTGGCCCCACTTCTCTGTGGCATCCCAATGGCCTGGGAGAGGCTGGCTTATGCTTACAGAGAGCTACCTGCCCGACCTGCACGCGTGCACGCACCCCTGGGTGCTGGCTGAGCTGGGCTAAGAGGATTACAGCCGCGTTGTGTGATGTTAATGTGCTGGCTATGGTGAAGCAGCCTCACATGCGGTGGGGAAGGGGAGCTCCGAGCACCTTCCCGTGTTGTCCTCTTCTTGTGGGAGGCTTCCCGCGGGACCAGAGCCAAGGGATGACCCAAGCACCTGTGCGACCTGTCCTTGCTCTGTCTCTGAAGTGGCAGAAAGTCATTAAGAACAGCCAAGCTTCATTTTGCAGTAACGAACTCAAGGGGGGCTCTGAGAGGGGAGGTACAAAGTCAGCTGGAGGCTCTTGGAGAATACCCCGCTGCGGATGTGGTGTTGTGGTCCCAGCACTCCCCGCAGTGGTGTGGGCTGGGCATGTCCTTATTTAACCTCTTACGGTGACACCGCTCTGAGTTTTCTCTTTTCTCCCTCCTTTCCCCCCCATCGCGGCTGCTGCCGAGTGCAGCAGGAGCTGCCAGCCCGCACCAACGGCTCGGCGCCCACCACCCCGGCGCTCGCCCGTGATGCCCTCCACACCAAGATGGAGCAGCTGGAGGAGCAGCTCCTCTCCAAGATCCTAACCCTGCAGAAGGAGCGCCAGGCAGCCAGCACCCACCCCAGCCAGCAGCAGCACGACATCGAGAAGGAGCTGAACTCCCTCCAGAACCGGGTGATGGAGCTGGAGCACGGTGAGTCCTGCCCAACGGGGATGGAGGTGGCGCAGGGGGGTCCTCGGACAAGCCACCCTCATCCCAGCGGTGGGTGCTGACCCTCCTCTCTCCTCCCCATTGTAGGACCGCCAGGCTACAGCCCTCCCAACGCCTTCAAGGTGACCATCCCAGTGCAGAACAACTACATGTACGCCCGCATGAAGAAGAGCCTGCCGGAGCTCTATGCCTTCACCATCTGCATGTGGCTGAAGTCCAAGGCCCTGGCGGGGCTTGGCACCCCCTTCTCCTACTCCGTCCCAAGCCAAGCCAACGAGATCGTGCTGCTGGAGTGGGGCACCAACCCCCTGGAACTGCTCATCAATGACAAGGTCAGTCCAGCCAGAGGGGGGACGGGAGGGAAGCCCCTGCCCTCATCTCCCTTTCTTCATCCCTCATGGGAAATGATGCTCCTGGGGGTAGCGGGGTGGGGGAGCTGGGAGGAAGGGGCCAGCGGTGTGGGGGAGCTGGGAGGAAGGGTCCCGGGTGAAGCGGGGAGGCAGAAGGATGGGAAGGATGGCTTGCTGAGGTGGGTTTTGAGAGGGAGAAGCAGTGCATCCAGATGTCTGTAGAATTTGGGGTGCCGCTGCCATGGGGGTGCACCGTTTGCTCTGCGAGGGGCTGGGGGGACACCGGGGTCCTCTGGCAGTCCCACCAAGTGCCGGACTCTTGCTCTTCTCACAAAGGTCGCCCAGCTGCCACTGAGCCTGAAGGACAAGGCCTGGCACCACGTCTGCGTGGCGTGGACCACCCGGGATGGCAAGTGGTCGGCGTACCAGGACGGCGAGCAGCGGGGCGCCGGCGAGAACCTGGCCTCCTGGCATGCCATCAAGCCCCAGGGTGTCATCATCCTGGGACAGGAGCAGGTATGTGCTGGCCCACTGCTGAGGGCTGCTGGTTTGCATTGCTCTGGAGTGAAGCCGGCCGGGGGGGCAGCCCCCAAATGGGGTGAGGGTGGGGGGCAGTGTGAGCAGGGCATGTTGGCAGTGTGGGCGAGGGGCTCTCCTGCCTGCTCATCTGACCTCTGGGCAGGCATGTGTGCTTATCATCTTCTCTTCCCTCTCCCCATCACTCTGTCCCCCATTCACTTCCCACCTTGTCTGCTTGTATCTCCCCCGCACGTCCATCCCGTCCCCTCCATGCTTTCGGGCATCTCGCTCTGCTTCTCCCCCTCTCCTTCACCCTGTTTGCCTGGCGGATGTGCAACCCCCCTCCCGCCCCATCCCCATCCCTGTCCCCATCCCTGTCCCATCACCTCTCCCGCTCTTTCCCAGGACACGCTGGGTGGCCGCTTTGATGCCACGCAGGCCTTTGTGGGAGAGCTGGC